ACTTCCCCGTTCCTGTTGCCTCGGGTGTACTGTGTGGCTCTGGGCAACGTAAGAAATTTGTAGTACCAACGATCGGATACTTAATTAAGTATCCGATATTCCGATTCTGATGAGTAGGCAACTATTTCACTGAATAAATATAGGTATTTAACGCCCGGCGTCAAGCAGAAATGGAAGCTACCCCATACGGGTGATATTACAATAGTTGGGTAAGCGAAGGGAACAAAAGTTGTGAAATATTTACACACACAAACATGACAAACTTTGTCTGATAGAAAACATGTTTTATGTCTTCACTTATTAAACTATTAGATCGTGTGTCATACACAAGTAATCCTCTTCCGTATGTTTAATAATTAAAACAACATAGATAATTCAAAGCGCTGCATTATAAATAGGATAAGACAGAATGAAGCTCAGAAGCTCAAGCATCTTGATCAAAAGATCCAAATATAAAAGGGGATTTAGTCTGTTAGAGCTACTCTGAAATACTCGAAAGATACAAAAATCCTGAGAGTAAGGAAGACACGTGAGCATCTTCTCGATTGCAGTACGTTTTTTTTTGTTTTTTTTTTTTTGTCACAGTCAGAGAATTCTTGAAGTGAATATTTTACAGGAAGTCCATTTTTACGTAGAACCTTTTCATAGACTATGGCACGTTGCGGAAATAGATCGCAAGCTACATCTTGAACCTTTATCAGGAGCTGGCCATAAAGCCACTGGGTGGATTTTTCGATCTGAACCAATTTCGTATGCATTACTTCTCCAGCTCCACTAAAGTCACCTGATCTGTTTTCACAGCATACGTGCGGAAGTTGCTGTCAATCTGTGCCTCGGCCAAAAAAAGAAAAAAAAAGCAGACATGATCATTTTCATACTTTCCCAAAACGGTGCCCGATAGATGAAACCAATTGTCAAATCGAACAATTTTTATTATCCTATATGCATATTGTTGTATAAAGAATTTTAGTAGATTTTGTACGTAGCTTTATTAGCTATGTGTTTTGTGAGCTCCTTGATGAACATAGAGTCCGTTTGCCTGATGCTATAACGATGCTAGTAGAATAGGGAGGTAACGAGGACCGCGGGCAAATTCATGTGAGATTATGTTTACAAGCCATATTTTTCGTGAAGGATGATATCCCAATGAAATACTGTAGACTTTATGCGAACGTGTTATAGAAAAGCTAACTAGTTCAGTGGTTAGAGCTAGTGAGCCTAATACAGGTAATGCAGAATTTTGCCGCACTGCATTTACATTACTTTTTGCTTCAAATCCGTATACATATAAAACGGAGCGGATTAATACATCCAGACGTATCAATAAATCATGTTATTATTACTACTATTTTTTTTAATCCCACCCAAAATGTGCTGGAATAGGTTCAATATAGGAATGAACATAGTCAGAATCTGCAATAATAGACACTTCTTGTTTGTGTTACCAGTCGTCAGATACTCAGCTTTGAAAAGATTGTTTCTAGGTGCAACAGATTCTGGTGAATTGGGACAAACTGCGATAATCGCTTAATATATGATTCAGTGTCTGCCAGGGCTGGCAACTAGAATAGTTTGACAAACAGGAAACTTAAAGTTAACGATTGTTATGGTTAACTTATTACCATAGAGCACTCTATAAGTTTTTTTGGTATGCTACATGCATATGCATGGAGTTCAACTGTTGCCATTGCGATTACATTATACCTCAGATCTACCTTCTATAAATTACCACGTATCAATAGCTAACGATAGTAGACGAAACTTTTGCCAGTTTGTCCGCTGCACGACTGCTTCTTGAATATTGTGCTACCCGGCTCAGAATTTCCAAAGCAATTAATATGTCTTATCTCTTTCAGATGATTGGAAACGTTTTTATCATGTCAAATGGCAAAATGAAGCTATCACTTATTAATTACCTTAGAACGTACAATCTAAAAACCTGGTTCGTGATTTTCTTTACAATTTAGGAAAAGCGGTAAATTTTAATGAACAATTTTAAAACACAAATTTTTGTCCTGCAAAAACCCCGTTCAGGTATTGAATTCATTCTTAGATATACACCATGTTGCCGTATGGAGAGCATCTATTAGGAATTCTCGAAGCACGCGCTATTCTATCGGCCTGGCCAGTAGTGGCATACCTGTAACGCTAATTGCTACACGAAGAAGGAGAAATGCAGGTCGAGCAGGAAAATAGTACGCAACTCCTAGCAGAGGCCTTACATCTTAGGAAGTAGCACAGTGGTTGCATCTGTTTGAACATCCGTCTACTTAGAGAAGTACTTCTTTCAGTTGATGCCCTTCGAGTTCCTTTAAGAGCATAACATTCTAAAGAACATCCATAAAACCTAGAGGAAACAGTATTTATATTAAAAGATGTTTTGCACACAAGTGAGTAGTAATGATCTATTTTAATACGTTATTAGCAGCTCATCATAATGGTTTAATAAGACCGTTGAAATAGATCAGGAACTAGATGACGAAACAAGTTACTAAATATGCATGAATATAAAACGCTGCTTCCCTATCTTTTTCATGTGACTCGTTTTTAGCCCAGAAGACTCCTCTCTAAAACCTCAACGAGCTCTCTCAAGCGAGCAAAAATGCTCAACGAACTGCACAAGCAATTGCACTTATGTTTCAACTGTATGCTCCATGGAATCGTTAAGGTCAATTTAAAAATGTGCTAGTAGAGAAGAAACTTAGCTTTCTGAACCTAATAATCAGAGCGTAGATGTAATGAATGTCTCACTCTGGTTTGTCCGAACATAAGGGATTCCTTGCACTCATTTACTAACCGCGATCAGCTATGTAACGATGATTAGCTAGATCTGGTAGTTACCCGAAAAGACCCATTTTTTGACAGTGGAATAGAACCATAATCGCCCACCTCAGATTTTTTCTGTTTCTTTATTTCTCTTCAATCATTTTTACTAGAGAATTATGCTTATGGCAGCTTCGAGAGCAGCTTGACCGATGTAATTCAATTGACACACAACCATTTCAATTAAAAATCAAATCCGGTTTGACAAATTATAATATAAATGTATTATGTCATTTGTTTTGCAGGAGCCTATGAGTCGAGTCTAACTTCAATGAAACCTTATCATTACCCATATATGTTCACTAAGAGTATTAGAACCCACCACTTAGCGATAACGTCTAAAATGTCTGTTTCATTAACGTCATTCATGTAACCTTCGGTAGCTTTTTTTTGGAGGTTGAGGGCAAATGCATTATGCAGACCAGACTTGATAGATGTGTCCTTCGTCTGGCTGGTACTGTGGGACTCTCACCTACTAAATCCTCATAAGGTTTGGACCTTGGTTCGGAATATAGTTTGATATTACTTCCAACCTTCGGTAGCTGCTGGTGTGTCGCCGACCTATTTTGTGTCAAAGATAGGCCATCTGGAGAAGTGAACACTGGCACATGCTACGCTCGCCATAATTCACCACCCTTCAGCGTCTTACCTAACGTAATCAATGCGTTTCGCTACCGCCTTGTGATAAAATTAAACCCATAATTGTCGATACTTCGTGATGAGTCATTCTACTGCTACACAACAAATTTTCTATTCACGCTATTAAAACTATTACACAATAGGCAGATCAGTAGCAAGATATCGGAAATGTGCGATCTCTTTTTTTATCATCATATTGCCTTTGTCGTCGCTTAAGTTTGATTAGTAACTATCTAATGGAACTGAAGGTACTCGAAGATTTAAGTAGTTCGAAGTTCAAGAATAAGTGATGTAAAAGTATGGGGCAGAGCTTGTACCACTTTCAGTGGCATGGTTTTCGAACGAGTTTCACAACAAACTCCGACATGACTTATAAAGAAAAATGCGTAATTGTAATTTGGTAGGAAAGTGGTAACTAGCTCACCTATTTAAGCTAGCATAGTAGAGCGGCTCCCGTAAATAATAGTAACAGATAATAGTAAGTAAAATTCTGTTCTGAAGGAGGTAAAAGTGTCGATTACATACTACAAAAGATAAAAGCACTTGCGTAGGAGAACAGTAAACGAATCTTAAGGTTCTTATTGACGCCTACAATTTGGGCGGAGGTTGCCGCTTCAACAAATATCCATCGTAGTTCTTCGAAATGTCTGAAATACACACATATGTAGCTAATCATATCTGACCTGAAGCTTACGACTAACCAGTTAGTAAATGAAACAAGGCAAGGCAGCAGCAGCAGCAGCAGCAGAAAAAAAGGTATTCAATAGGCCCTTGAAGCATACTGTTTGACGTGGCGGAAACATCCATTGACGCGTTAATTAAGCCATGTGTCTTGAGAAGTTATATCACTTTGTTTAGAAGGACTTGCCAATTGGTAGAAGGCATCTGCTAGTCTATAAGAGATGCAAGTAAATTTGAATCCGCTATTGCCGCTGAATACAGCTTCAGACAGTAACCATTATCACAAAATGCAGTGTGCCTATGCTTGGTTTCCAATCTACAATACAGCCTAGATACAAGTAAATATGAATCAGGTATTCGATCTGGATCGCACTCCAAATGAATCTTGAAGAACTAAAGGAAGACTGTAAAGATGGGGGAGAAATGTGCCGCGACTGTCAGATAAAACGAGTATTACCAGGAACCAAGGCCCTATAGGAAATCTGATTTGTTCTGTAGCCACCGGAGCAGTATTAAAAAACTAGTCAGTTTGTCATTGTCTTATCTGCGGCAGCTCCTCGAGAGTATCAGTGCAGGTCTGGTTGACGTCATGGATGCCGTTGATAACACCCCTTGCATGCTATTTCCGATATTTATACATTCATACTCTATAACAAGTGGATGATTTAGATTGAACTTTGTCTTGGACTTTATTCCAACTCAACTGCTGACCTTGGCGAGGAACGTGGGATACTTGTGGAGAAACGAAGCTATAATTACATATACATTTATTGGTAAATGTTTCAGTATCGAGTTCGGAGAGAGGAAATCTCACAGACTATATTGAGATTAGAGATTTTGAAGAAATAGTTACTCACGTTCCGCGTGCAGCCGTTAACGGCGGTGAGGTACCTCTGCTGTTGACAGAGGACGCATTGACTTTGAAGGGAGACGGCGGACGACAGAAAACACATTCGCACATTCTGATATGAGAGCCCAAAAAGCCAGGACGCGCCGAAGCCCAACAGCGCGCTTAGCCAAGCGACGCGCAGCAGCTGGAACACAAAGCAGTCACCTAACATTGTAATCACATGTACATAGTTCGTCTGAGGTTTTACGTCCATCTTAGAAAAATGCTATACGAGGAAAATTCGAAGTTCATATCGAGGTTTCTGATCAGATTGATACTTCACATTTGATGGCTTTTGCAAACCGCTTTCATATTCATAATCGCCTACGTGTACAATATGATTTGCATTGGAATATAGTAAATACGTGTATATATATACGCAATACAATGACTAAATAAAATAGTTAGACTTCGCAATAGTGTTCGCAAAAAGCTGCACCGTTGTAGAAGATTATAGTGCAGATATTCTGTAGGGAAGATATTATCCATAAATTTTAAAGTTTGAAGCAGCAAAGCCTGCTTGAGAAAGTGCGTCAAATAAATCAATTACAAATGAATGTACGTTAGATAGAAGGCGCTAATTAAGTGACGAGTTTATTAGCTAATCAACACAGGAACGCCCACGAAAGCATCAGGCAATCAAGGCAACGCTATCATAATTTATCTCGTAGTCTATATATAATCGAGACCTAGGCCACTGATGCTATTTTACTGTAACAGGGTTCTAGAAACATCATACCCATCTCAGGTCGATAAAAATACTAAACGTATTTAGGTGGACACAGTGAAAAAAATCTAACAAATTGCCCTTTTTCTTTATTAATAAGGGAAACAAATGTTAGGTATAGTTGTCTTCTTCGACAGCAGGAAGAAAATAAGCAAGGTTTATAATCTCGCCGTCTGAACGTGATCTTGTATAGACGTCGTAATTCGTCATCTATTAATAACTCATCTGCTAAGACAACCAGATATCTTTTTAAGGTAGTCTCGAATGTTGAAGGCAGTACATCTTAACTATGAACAAACCTGAATTAACTTAACGTCTTCGCACAGTTCTTGAAATCTGCTATAAGAAGTATAAAAAAATAAATAAATTAAAAAAAAATAAAAATTCTGCTTTCTACTTTTCCTCGCATGAATGTGATAGTTTAGCGTTATCATTGATCAGATATCAGTGGTATATTATAAAAGAAGATTCCTGAGCGTTATACAAACATAATTTATCGAAGTATAAAATCGACTGCAATTGTATCAGTTCAGAGAGCATACTTATTTTTCTAATATGAGCTAAGGTAAAAAAATTTCGGCACACTAAAAACAATCTACAGTGGCGTTTGTCTTCATTGCTGCGTACACCTTCGAACCTATCTGGTTAGAAATTATATATCAATAGCATATGTATCCTTTTGACATGATTTTTGCAGATGTAAACTATTTAATACCTTTTTTTTATGTTAGCATTAATTTTCTAGGGGAGCATAATAAAAAGGAATAGTTTACCTATTAATAATATCTTTCACCTCATGTTCAAGAATCGTGTGGATACCGAAGCAAATTCTTTCAAAGTACCTACAATGATTATTAATAGCTACAATTTTTATTCTTTTTATAAGAAATGCACATTCCGAAACGGGCGGAAACAATGCGGATTTACTAAGTATCAGCAGCCGCTCTCGTTTAATATTTCGAAAATAATTACTGGAATAATAAATACTGGAAAGATGTCATCATCACTTAAGCTCTCGCGCTTTTCTTCTTTGTTCCCCTTTACACAGTAGCATTCAAGCTGAAACGATGGTGTCCCAAGCTAATCTTGCAGATGCTTTGGGTGTAGGCCCTTTGTGGAAGTAAAGAAGGGTTAAGGAGGCTAGATTGACTCTTCAAACGTTTGCCCACCAAAAATGGGAGCTCATCCTGCCTGGGAATTTGCCCATCTACCGCTACTCCTAAAAAAATCTGCCGCCCAAGAAATAGCAACGTCATTAGAGCGAAAGAGATTGACATACAAAATTCCATAAGCTCCCTATTTGAGTATGATACATCAAAACAGTCCTCTTTCTAGCAAAGACAAAGATACAAATGCCAAATGATAGGATGAGTTCGTCTCAAGATACCTCTTGCAGTTCTTCAGCAGACCTACTTCAGCACATAGCGAGCAAAAGAGTATAATAGGGCACCGAGTAATCTCGCAGTTGTTTGAAATATTCACTTACATCTGTGGCAGGTAGCCGGATTGTGACGTACAGTCATTTTGTCACTGTTAATTACGATCTCTGGCAGGATGATCTCGACGCAACGAGCATGCTCGTTTCATCACCACCAGAGCTTGTATTCCGCTTATACAATTGAACTTTAGGAACCTTGTTTGTATCTCATTGAAAAAGTTTCGTCCCGTCGACTACTTATATGGAATGGCATTTATACTGTTCATTATCTATTATTGTTACTAATAACTCTGTATACTTTACGCCGAAAAACTCTCCCTATGTATCTGTAAGCACCGTCAGTATCTGCGAGAACGAACATCGACGCAATGAATATGTACGTAAGTTAACGCAGAAGAAAACTGCTGCTTGTTACAGCTACCTAAAACTGTCAACCTAAGCTATTCATATGCTGGATTTAATTTCGGCTAAAAAACCTTAACGGTAGGTAAGTTTATCTGAATTGAATAAAGGGTCAGAGTATACCTGAAAATACGTAGACCGAAACCGGACGTAAAGACGCTTCGCCCTGGGAACCAACCGTCTGTGACGCTCAACGTTAGCACCGAAGATAAAATTGAAAACATTTGTTTTCGGGGTTGATCATTTCAGCGGGCACTTTCAGGTAGGGACACTAAATAAGTAAGTCAGTCTGTGTATTGTTGTAACACGTTATGTTACTTCGTTTGGAGGGTACTTAAAATACGCCACCCATACTGTTAACACAGCGCAAGCGCGGCCATAAAAAGCAGATATTATAAACCTAAAGCTAATACCTATTAAAGGTCGATATGATCTAACAGAAGAGCGTCCAACTGGTGTCAGTGAGGCCAACAACAATTGTACGTTCACTGAATTGTTTCATAACTTCCATATTATTATTATTATTATTTTATTGTATAGGAGATGTTTACGTGGTTCATATAAATAGTATTTAGTATCACTTGACTCTTTTGCCCCTGACCCTTGGATAAAGTATATATACAATAATACTATATTTCGAACTGTAAGCCTTTTAAAATATTATAACATAGCAAGATTGTGTTATCCGATAAAAATATTTCTAACGTTCAAACAGGACAAAATGAATCGATCGAAGTAACAAGTAGCAGCTTCCTGGACGGAGATTCTTTAATATTTGCTAAATTATCAAAATTGCTTTTCATTAAATCTTGTTATTTTGGGAGGAATTGTGTCCAAATAATTCATCTGCATTAAGGCCACTTTCAGGCATTTCTGTCCTATCTAGTTAGACTATTAGGTTGAACAGCTTTCTAAGAATTCACCATTGAAGTAAAAGCGATACTTATTTTAAAAACGGTGCTTAATTAGCTTAACGGTGCGGATTTTAAAAAGTGTGCTTGTTCGGCCGATTAGGTATACGTGGATTATCCTTAGGCCAAACTATATTGAAAAGCACGCATTGGATCACCCTTCAGGTATCCGTTCCATTTCCTTTTATGATAGACCATACATTAGGGCGCAGGATTCACTGCTTTGTATTTATCCGATGGGGAAGGTTATCTTGGAACATGCTCAATATCGCTGCGCTTCATCGCCAGAAGTTACGAGACTTTAAAACACTAAGATTCTCACACTTGAGAAGATCGTCATAGTTTGCTTGATGGGCCGACAGAGAAAAGGATGAGGCTCTGTGCTTCAACTAGCGCGGTATAACAATCGAAAACGATCCGTATGCTGCACGATATCGTTAGCTGGAACCAGCAACAGACACTGAATCCTCAACCAGAATGAGGTACTAACTACTAAAATTGTCTCGGTATCAACAAATGTGTGTTACAAATGCTGTCCGATGACAGCTGACTGATGACAAAATAGTCATTGAAAAACTGCAACATTTTCGATGTCCCTGAAAAACATTCTCTCATTGGTAGCTGCTGTCAAAGGCCGAACGATGCCGATCGCCAAATCGGCCGTTAAAAAATTGAATTAAGCTTCAATCAAAGCGGCTATCGGAGGGGGAAACTTCCGGAGAGCAAAGTCACGCGATGATGACATTGCTTGCTGCACTGTGCCAGTTTGCCTTACCCGAAGCACGCTCATAGTAGCCCAAGCCTATGTCCACATAACGATAAGCTTTGCTATGTAAGACTCTCATTGATCACCAATAAATACCAGTGAGAACGCTGGCACACCCACTGAGGTGTGCACTGTCACAGGCGAGGTTATCTTTCACAGAAGCGTTGCAATGTATCAGCAAGCTACCATGCTGGCCTCCGAAAGGGAACTAACATACGAAAGCAGTGTCGATGGCCCTGACCCTTTTGCAGATACTCTTCCCTGAAAATTTGCCAATTGAGACGAGTCTCTTTTGCTACCGCACATCATCTGGCATTTATCCTGACTGCCAATTTGTCAGTGGCAATCATTCTTGTTATCATTTTCTCTCTAGATCCTTCGTGGTAGACGATACTGGAGTCCTTTTTGTCTGTGTGCATCGATGCATATGCTGACCGCGTGGACTCCGCGGCAGTATAAAGCAACCGGCAAACGAATAGTTCGCCTATTTGACCAACTACTCTAGAGCGTTACCCTGCCCACATCCGCTGGTTCAAAGCTCAGTAGAAAAGTCTTTCAGTTTTTGGTTTGCACTTGGACACGCACCCATGAAGGTACAGGCGCAGACCTCGTTACACCACGAATCTTGATAAATCAAAAAATACGTGCCGATAGATTTGTACGAACAGCGTTTGCAAACCTGTGAACGCGCCAGCTAGTGCTACCTATAGTGTACATGAATACAGGGAATTCTATGCGTAGATAAACAAAGCCATATATTTCTCAAGGTCGGCGTTTTTCGAGGTCCACCCAGACTGTCTAATCGCTTCAAATAGACAAGGTGCTTCAGCCACACGTTCCATCGACTAACGTTTCTGATGATCAAACATCTTACTGATCAATCGAACAACATTGACGACACAATCCGGGTCTAGAAGCTTGATAAAAATGGGTATTTTGCAAGCATAGCACTATTCAGCGTTGCGTATCATTAGTTTTATCAATGGCTGAAGTAATCAGAAATCGATGCAAATCTAATGACTCACAATAGCAAACGTTTATCTGTAACCACTTTTCAACATGTGCTTTTTTCGCCGCACGAATACGAAATATTGATCAATAGTGCCAGATCACTATTGCTGGGAATATCGTTTATTGAATAGACATCGGAACGGTTAGCGGTCGTGATGGGAAGAGATTGTTACGAATACGAAGTTTGATGCCGCCTTTACTTAACTTACTGTGTGCCTGAAGTCATCGTACATCATCATCGTACATCAAAATGCTCAGATACTGTACCTTCTTTTGCTAAGCAAAGCTTTGAGAATATATGTTAAACCATTGAAAAACCGTCGTAAAATGCAATAACATAATTTTTATAAATACATCCATACATATCATAGAGAAGAATGACTGGATTTAGTGTATCTATCTGGTAGTTTGAAACGATGCTGAATCGCGCGTAAATGCGTTGCATCATGGTAAGTGTAGGCCAAACCCTGTGCCAAAAAATGCTCTCTGACACAGTTGATTAAGTAGAAACGTCAAAGAATAGTTAAAAACACATTAACGAGGATACCATGGTAAAAAATGAGAGCCATAGTTAGTTCGCCACACACGGGTGCCTTTCAAGCCTCTCGTTAACTTGAACTTACAGTTCAATCGATATGCTACTTCTAGTACTTGTGAGTGCTTATGACTTGGTATAGCCGTTGGAATGGCCTCTAATTGCTAAGTGCTACAGTGATGCATAACAGGCAGCATATCCCATACGGACACCATACCTGTCGACGACTAGTACACCGCAAAGCATAGCGGTTATTTTCGTTGACGCGGGCTCGTCAGGGTTCCTTCTAACGCATACAAGAAGGACAAGAATAATCCATCGACGTCTCCTAACCAGCTCTACTTGCTATTCTCGAATTTTCTTGCATAATAATTGTAGTATAATCTTCTTGTCTTAGCAACACCTAGCGAATAAACTCCCTCTGGCCGATCATGTGTGATGTCTGCCTGTAATAGTTTCTCAAGCCCAGATGCCCAGGTGCCTCCCAGTGAGGGAAGAAAATAGCGCGTAGAAGAGGCTGGAAGGGAAGAAACGGGCATTCTGGGACGTGATGGCAGGGCATAGATAGGGTTATGTGTCGTTCATATGTAACTTGCTGTCTGAATGTGTGCAGAGACAATATATCTGCACGTATGCGAGTAATCAGGTTATCGTACTCATCCAGACCAAGCAAACTCCACCATCGACCGCTTGCCACCCTCGTGTAAATGTCGGTACGTGTAATCAAGTCAGCAGCTTGAAGAATCTTCTTTTAACAACACACCCAGATGCGCATATATAAATCGTCAGAATAAACTTGGGCTAGCCTGGCGTTTGAGAAATAAGCTTGTGTCACAGACGACTGGTGCTTCAGAAAATTATGGTAATTACATTTTGGGATTCGCTCTTTTTCCAATTTCGCCCATTCCAACTTGCTTACCTCCAGTCCCTTTGTTAATTAGCGGTCGAATAAGCAGGCTAACGATCCTGTTCCATTAAGCAATCGAGGCATCGAGAACCACCGTTGTTACATCGAAAAAATTTTATACCTCGAATGAACAAAGGAAAGACTGTCCTACGCTTTCCATGCACTGCCCCAATGCTACCATTCTTTTGAAGTATAAATTTGCCTTTAAACCTGCCAGCTATCTTACGAACAAACACACGGGCATACAAAGTACTTACCGCTCACCCCTTCATTCTTTTCACCACCCCCAGCATCGACTCGATAGCACGATAATTTACGGTCAAGCGTTTTGCCAATATTTGCTTTCCGCTAGCTAGGTAGCTAGAGAGAGCGAGGGGGGAGGGGAAGGGAAGGGACATGAGTGTTATCGGGTTTTAACATCTTCTATCCGGTTGGCTTCAGCAGAAATGGCCACGTTCGCGAGCTTGTCTTTTTGCCGCTGCCTTCCGCTTAAGTGGCTTAAACGATGCCTGCAGTGTTCACACGAGCCACCACTGCGTCTGCTACGACTACATGTTCTGCTCAACTGTCTTGAGGGGACCGTTTCCTAAGCCCTCACCACTTCCTTTCCCCAGTTTGCCTTCACATCCAGCCTGGTGGTCCACTCGCACGTGTTAATAATGGCATTGTAGAGCCATGGCTTACACACAATATTTACTACTGGTAGCGGTGCTACCATCTGTCACCCAGCTATTATCGCCAGACTAGACAGATCACTCAAACTTGTACTTACCAGACGAACAATGAAGAAACCGGTCTATGGTCTAAGAAACCGATAACGAATATGTCTGCTGTTGCAGATAGGGCAGCACTATAGAGCTAGGTGGTTCCGCTATAACCACAAATTATTACTTTACATTGTAGCAAGGCAAATAAAACAGATCGATTCAAGGGATCACTATAAACTGATTAATAGATGAACCACTCCAGTGAACAACTAAAACGTATTGGCCTTCTTTGACAGCCTTCTTTGACGCGCTGGCCGAAAAGATGGTCGATCGCAGAAGGCATAGTTTTTCGTCGCCTTCTAGAGATATTCTTTAGAGAGATACGTTTGCGCTGGAAAAATGATAATGTACAAACAGAGTATTCCTTTCAGAGGTAGCGCATGAAATATTTGAAGCTATGCCGTGCGAATTCTGATTCTATTATGTTGTAATCCGTCTCTGCGGCTCTGATGCTTGAAGATCTCGAAGTACCCAAGGCTCTGAAATACAAAAAGAAAGAAAAAAACACATTCCCGTGTCGGTTGTAGGACAGACTAGAGAAGACGTTTACTTGTCGTTATCCCGCTATTCCTTTACGATCTTTCATGCTGACAGCAGACATATTGATTGTGAAAGTCATTTGAAAAAAATAAACGTGTAAAGCTTAAAATTCGTCGGTTTCTTCGGGCGCCTTTGAACGACGCGCGCATCCTCAACAATGGAAAGCCCGTTTGTTTCGATAGTGCGCCCACTATTAACTTTCAGCTTTTCGCTTCATTCTATAGCAGCCTTGCTTACTTCAATACGTATATTGCTTAGCAATCTGTGCTGCTAGCATTCAGCTCGGCTTTAATTAGTTTCTCATGGTTAATTAGCTTGAAATTTCACTTGTTCTCTCGTCGTAGTTACCCTACTGTTAAGATGTAACACTGCTTCGTCCTACGCTATGTCGAACCGAACACGTGGGGACCAGAAACGGCGAGATAGCACTTGAGCGCGTCACTAGCGTTGACAGAATCCGAAAGGTCTGTTTTTGACGATTCATCTCCAACGGATCCCTTGACTTGATTGAGTCAAAACTAAGGAGCCACTCGGGTGGGATTGAGCTCTTGATAGGCCCGGCTTTTCCTTTCCAATGAAGTCAACTGCCGAATAGAGCCGACAAGCCCACACCGGAATAACTCAGTGCATTTATATGAAAAATTGTTAAGAATTTTTGCAATATATTCCGACCGCGTGTGAGGAGCACTCACATTAATCCGTTTTTGCCCTCGAACTCCGAGTTTAGAGGATGCCCATTTGTCTGAATAAGCTGCCGGGAATGGATCATAGCTGCTGGCCGATAGTCTGGGTATCGTATAGTCGTTTTCGAACACTACAGCAGACGCCAATCTATACAAACCATCATTTTATTTTATTTCGATAGAACTTGATCAATGAACGAGCCGCTGGCGCTTTTAGAATCTGCTGTGCCCGATAGAGAAGACAGGAAAAGCAAAGCTGCTCAGTCTACTCTTGACGGTAACTTTAGCTTACCGCTTTTTTGATTCTTAGTCTACAAGTAGACGACGTATGACGGCTGTATAGTTATTCCTTAACGGCTAAATTTAGATACGACTGTCTTAGTGCAAAACCACGGGGAAGTTAGACTATCCGTTATGAGTGTGTAAGCTTGCGTGTATAGATTTATGAAGCAAATCACTTTACTGGTTGCAAGATGACGGATTTACGCTGCCACCGGTAGATGTCCATTCTCAAGGCTACGTATATAAATTCAATTGTAATTTAAATCTTGATTATATGCAAATAGTACCTAAAGTTTCAATTTCTTATATATTATTAGGCGTCTTTGCAGTAACAGAACGCTCGTTCTCTACGCAAAACCGTTATTAGCAAGCAATACGCATCCGTTGTTGAGGGGCCTTTTTTGCGACAATGGCCTTAGGCCGTATTCAAGCAATTATTTTTGGACACAACGAGTGCGATTATGTAGTTCTCGCTAGTGATTCATTACTTTTTGACCACTGTATAGGCTCGTTCATTATTCCTATATATCGAAGTTTACCTAACGAAACGGATAACATTTTTCCTGTGTAAACATCTTGTTTTTGTCGAATTCAAGATACAGTGACAAAGTATGATCGAGTGCTCCAATATACGTTTATAAAAATACGTAGCTAGCTCAAATAATTGATACGACAGTTTTATTAAAGTCTTTCTTCACAATATTCTTTGACTGTGGATGAATTGGACATGTATGATCGAGCAATCTGGTCTTTTACAGATGATTTTAGCCACAGCGCGTGAAATAAAATACATAGCTGAATTCCCTCAATTTTTGAGAAAAGTCCTGGGAGGGAAATACTATATTCTAGTACGATTTTTATCACGGTTGTGTAAGTAGCGAACGACCGACAAAAATCTTTTGCTTTACTAATCCCGCGTTTTTGAAGCGTTCTCGCCCGTCACGAAGGCAATCCTCACGCTTAAAACAACTTGAAAATAGCGTTCTATCCATATCATTTGTATAGGACAATTTAAGAATGAATTTACTCGTTCGTAGGTAAAGTTGTTCGTCAGTGAATACTGCATGCACTTTGTTGAAGTACTCCGTTTATGGATCAATAATAACACTCTAATTGTACATGGAACTGCATACATGGTGCTCGTATAGGAACAATTGCAGTGCCTTTTTTACGTCCTGAATACTACGCAGCGTTATGGACCCATGCCTATAGATTCTGATCCCCTATTCGCTGCTGTTCTTCCAAACTTCGGTAGTCTCTCGTAAATTCCTCTCCAATGGACTATTATTCAAACACTATATGCATTTACAGGATGACCGCAACGACGCTGCTACCAGCAGCCAAATCTATTCGGTTGTAGGAAGCCGTCGTGAAGTCGTCTCTGACAAAAATCCTACTATTTGAAAATACTTTCCAAAATCCTTTTCATTTCACTAACTTACTCCGTTATGAAAAAAAAGCTACTATCTTCTGTGCACGACAGCACTGTTCTTTTTTATGGGTCCTTAAATAACGTGGGATATAGAAGCAGTTCTTTATTAACGAGTAGCTACTTATAGACCACTGAATACATACGTAGCGTTTAACCCTTTGGCGTTATTCAGGTAATCAATAATATTAACGCAGCAGCAGTGGCCTAGGAAGGCCTCAGTTGAGTGCAGCGGTGCGCGGCGAAATGTTTGCGCCCTGTTCGGGGAAAGACTGTCCCGTCTCTATTTTACTGTTTATTGGATATTATTTGCCCAGCTCAATCCATAACCCCGTTAGAACCTGTAGTGCTTATGGCCAGAGCTACTGAGGTCTCGTTAAGGGCCTGAGAGAATCAATGGTATGTGATACGCAAAAGACCTTTCGCGGAAATGCCCCCCCATGAACAACCCTTACTCCAAGGACCGGTAAAAAACTCTTCGGGGGACATTTAAAGGTTACATTCAGAAGTATGCCATAACTTCAATGGAATGTACTACACGGAATAGTGCAATACATGCACACATTATACAAGCCAGTGTGTACTGTCGTCAAGAGCGCTAAATAGAAGAAAAGAAGGAAAATAGCTCGTCGTTCAGGGGCCATAAATCTCTTTCTCTCTGGCTATATCTCTCAGCTCTGTTTTTGCTTTGTCAATAAATACATGTCTATGAATCGCTGCTGGATACAGGATGCGATTTATTTTAGAGGCCCTTTCCTCTGTTAAGACAACTGAACAGGGCATCTGTTGCCAGCATTTTGAATAAATTACATGTTCATTTATTCGAATCAATGTACACCATCCATTTGTAAAGAAATACACAGTCATATATTTTGCAAAATTTAGCTCTAAAAAAGTCTGTACGAAATTTGGTTGCTATTGAGATTGGCCCATGTTGGCCCTTGCAGAATGATATATTATGACTATTACATGAGCCGTGTATAAATGTGCGTCTATCCTATATATTATTTCCTGTTAGATATCAGTAGATGTCAGATAGTAGCAACACGGCTGGGCGATGGAAATATGTTTTCTTTCTTAGAGATAAGGCTCAACATTAGGAGCTGAACTCAGCTTTTCCTAAACCTAAACCTCAGTTGTGTTTTACCGTACTGACGAAATCAGCTTCTCAGCACCTCCACTTGCGATTTACAGAATACAAAGCAACGTACAATTTCCGTTTGAATTCGCTCATCGTGCAACTTAACAGTAATCGTCTGCAACGAGAGCTCCATATCTGGGGCTCCGTCTGGCCACGTTATGTCTCTTTGCTCGCTTCGTTATCCATAGAAATTGTGAGCACTATTCGATGCTTTAGGAAGTCATGCGTATTAGCAGAATCAAGCGGCAGTGTGTTCCGCGAAAAAAATCTGTTCGAGCTTAAGACCTCCATGACATGGACGACGTTGAACGAGTTCGGAGAAAAACGGGCACTGGAAAGCTCATAACTTCGCAACGCAAGAAATCTATTCTTTTATTCGTCTTTGTTAAAACATATATCTAGGCCGAAATAGTAACGGATACACACGGCGCCTTAGCTGAGCTCCTAGGGACCTTTTCTCATAGCTGCGGATACATACTATGGCTACTTCTATTTCATTTTGAGACAGTCACATTTGTTTTGCCGTCGCCGTCAAGACCTTTAGCATCCTAATATTCATCAGTTATATGTCTCCTAGGTTTCAGTAGTAGAATTTGAGTCTCGTTTTTTTGCCGGTTTTGTATAAAAAGGTTCCATGTGATAATTCTTCAGTAATGTAAAAATAACACGTTTGTGAACTTGCTTCCTTTCGGGGAGGGGAGGGGAGGGGAGGGGCA